GAGTATATAAGAATAAAAAAATTAAATGTGTATTCAATTATTTTAATAACTTTCTTTTATTGATATATATATAATATGAATATTACTTTATAGAGAATAAAATTTTATATAATACAAATAAATAAAAAACATATATATTTACTTATAAATAAAAAAAAATTAATTTGACTAATAAATGAAAAAAAATTGTAAATATATAGAAATATATTTATATATTCAATAGATATAAAAATAAAAAATTTTGAATGAATTTTAATTAGATTCCCTATAATATAATATATTTAAAAAAAATTAGGAACATAAGTACCAATCCAAATCGAAGGTAACTTTTGGACATGGGTCCAAAAGCATACTAATATGAAGGAGGCTCGAACACAAAAGTGGAGCCGGAGCTCCCAGGCCACAGAGCCGCCCCAAAAAAATAGAGTTTCATGCCACGGAGCCAAAGAGCCTCCATAGAGCCGAAAGAAACAACCTCCATTGGACTGTGATGCCTCTACAAAGCAAATGATTGCTGCCTCCACAGGGCCGAAAGTAGCGGCCTCCACGGACCCTGGGGCAGCAACCTCCATTAACCTTAGGGCAGCAACTATTTGGACTATGGCGCCTCTATCCAGGAACAATGCTTCCATAAGGTCAGAAATTGCTGCCTCCTTTGGACTGCGCTGCTGCCACAAGACATAAAACAACATCTTCCACAGATCATGGGATAACCACTTCCATTGGCCCTAGGTTAATAGCGACTCAAGGTTGTTGGGAACAAAACCTTGTAGACCGGCTAGAGAAGTAATTGAGGCATTTCGGGGTAAGCTGCAGATCAATTCAAGGGCAGTGGAAGCGGTTCAGAATGAGTGGTGATCCGATTCAAATGTAATGGAGGCGGTTCAAAGGAAATGCAACGGCTGGAAGCTGATTAAGGGAGCTTATCAGACGGTTGGAGGTAGTGGAAGGAATAATTGAAACTACCTGTGATACCATGGCCCGCAAGCCGGATGTGTCGGGATTGCAGACTGGCCCCATAAGTCAACACGAGTCCTTTCAGCGCGTTTCTGTCCTCATTCACGCGCACCTCCTAGGGTGTCACCCCATCCTTAAATTACTCTAGAGCAAGCACGCTTAATTTTAGAGTTCTTTCAGTAGGGCTTCCAAAAAAGAATGTGTACATTGTTAACATGAGTAGTCTATTCAATCCATTTAACCTATATTCAACCTTAGATGGCCTGACACCGGCTCATCCACATGAGTTGTCCTAGCACCGGCCTAACTCCGGAGGTATTACACTACCTTTTTAGTATAAGAGGTAGTTATTTGATATTAGGATAAATATAGTGAAAAGAACACACACACACACACATATATCCTCTACAAGTCTTTATCATTTTATTAGTTTATCATTTTATCCATAGGTTTTTGGAGATTATCTTAATTTCTTGTTATTTATGTTTCCCTACTTTCCATTAGATTTATCCGAGTTTAAGTAGATTTTAGTTTCAATCCATCGAATTCGGTTGTTTAGGCTCGAAGCTGCGCAGGCTCCACCGTCGGAGCCGCCCCCAAATTCGACAACGGACAGGCTCTTTGGAGTACTTCCAGAACCCACACTGACGGAATTGATGAACAGTATTGGAGCCTCTGAATTTTAGGTTCCGACAATTGCCACGCTTGGTGGGACCAAATTCGGATTTTTCGAAGAGTGATATCGAGGTTTACATGGGGTTCATTTGTACCGTTTGAAGAAAGCTACAGAATTGTCGCAGAACATCCAATGCTTCGGGCCTTAGGGCCGGAGTAGGAAGGATCAGGCTGGAGCCTCCAAACTGCAGGATCCTGTAGCCACCTAGTTGGTGGAGGCTAGAGCCGACGACCTGCGGAAGGTTGGAACCAGTAGCCTGCAGCAGGGTGGAAGCAACAGCCTGCGGAAGGCTGGAACCAATGCCTGCGGATGGCTGGAGCCAGCAGCCTGCGGAGGGCTGGAACAAACAGCCTGCAGAGCGCTGGAGCCAACAGAATGCGGAGGGCTGGAACCCCTTGGCCGTTGGAGTTTTGGAGAGTGATGACTCCAAATATGAGCATATTCTTAGCTTGACAAAGCTGTATATTACTCAAATTTCTATATAAAAACCATCATAATAACTCATTAAAGGCATACATTATTGATCTATATCGCTTGGCATGATCCAGATTTTGATGTTGAGATTATTAACAATTTTTGCCTTTTTTAAGCGGTAGTGTGGTGCCAGAAAAGCTAAGGCATACGCCACAAGCGACAACCACCTCCGCTCGAAAGCGCCCAAAATACCTCATGGAAAAGACTAAGGCATAAGAGGCAAGCGGTAGCTTTCACCGCCCGCAAGCAACAGCCTCTCCCGCTTGCAAGCGACAGTCCAGACACCCACGCTGCAGATTATCACAAGATTCCAACTAAGTATTCCAACTGCAGCGGTACAGCCATTTCATCTCCAGCCAGCACAAGCGAGCCTAGCTGCCTGATGCCCTCCAGCTCTCCGACAAGCGAGGAAGATCTAGGCCCTTGAAATTCAATGCAATCAAAGCGAGCGCCCGAGGACTTATGGCCATCAACTACTTCAACAGAATAACTACCATTAACCGCCTAACTGCCCAACGGTTGGAACCGCCCAGCAACTGATTGCAACCGTCCCGTTTCACCTGTTATAAATAGGGCCAGATATATTTATGTAAAAAAAGAAAAAAAAGAGATCGATACTTCGATTTTAGAGTACCTCTAGCAATTACTGCATTCCAGTCGTCTTCCTGTCTCCGAGAGCTTCAACCCTGTAAGGGAGTTCTCCACAGCAATGGCCAAGGGAGTAGAGATTTCCCTTATTCCTTGGCCAAGTCTTTATAGTTTTTCGTAGATTAGATTACTACTTTCTTTTACAGCTTTGTAGTTCTAGTCTTTCCCCGCTTTCATAGTAAATAATGAAATATCATTCAGTTCTTCATCCTCATTTCTTCCACACTTTTTACATACTTATATAAAGTTTGTAATTATAGAACTTCATTTCACTGGTTTAGAGCATGAGAAGAATTGATTATCTGAGCCTTGTTATGCGCAAGAAGCGGTTTCAAGGTAGTTCAATGTAGTTAAGTACGCGGGAGCCTTGTCGACCTGCTTAACTACTATTCTGAATTCGATATTGATTAAAAAGAGGTAACAGAAGGGTAAAGCCAGTAATGAGGCACAAGTTGGGATAATTAATAGGGCATAGACGGTGGTCTATTAGGTCACAGAGATTCCTAGTGACAGTAGGGTTTCTTTCTTATAATATTCTGATTATGGGTGTCATTGAAGTCTTGTTGTAAATCCCCTAAGGTCCGAAGCGTTTTCAGCGTCCCACGAGTCCTACTTCTTCCACTCGATCACAGAGACGTCTGTTCCGAGAGCAAGTGCGAGAACAACTCATGGCGAACCAAGGAAATGCCACCGCTCCTTCTACTGTCGTCCCAGCTTTCCAGACTTCCGCTGGGACATCTTCAAACTCTGCCACATCTGCATCTTCGTAGGAGGTGCCACTCTATATCCCCACTGTAGTCACCACTGTCATTCCTCATGCGCTCACACCGACTGAAGAGCAGCTCATGAGAGCCCTCAGTAGCATCCAACAGGGAATGGCGGGGCTGCAAGCGCACCTTGCTCAGGTGGAGAAAGCCCAGGCTGCGCAGGGGGCGTTTATCGCTTCCCAAGCGGCTTAAGCTACGAACGCTGTTGCGATTCCCGCTGCCATCACTCCCCCACCACCAACTGCTGAGCCTAACCAGAGGGCTAAGGGACACAGGGCTGCTGAACGCCCGCTTGTTGAAGTCCCCATGGACGTTCATTACTATTCCCTTCTGGATCATACTTTAATTACTAGTTTTGTGCCCAGAGGCTCTGGCCATTATGAGGTGAAACCAGCGCTCGTCAGCCTGGCAAGCCACAGCCAATTCCATGGGCTGCTCAACGAAAGCTCCTATGAGCATTTACAGAACTTTAACAGGATCGCTGCCACCTCCAAATCTCACAGCATCACAGAGGATGCTGCAAAACTTATCTTGTTTCCATTCTCTTTATCAGGAGAAGCCAGGAAGTGGTTTGATAACCTCTATCCAATTCCTGGCTCTTTCAAGGAAGCATCGCAGGCCTTCGTGAGCAAATACCATCCTATGTCAAAGACCATTCGCCAGAGGAATGAAATACTCACTTTCAAGATGGCGAATGATAAGACCCTTCCCAAAGCCTGGAGCCGATACAAACAATTGCTCCGCAACTGCCCTCATCATGAAATTTTGGACTTCATGGAGCTTCAAATTTTCTACTCAGGAATCACTCCTGAACTGAGGATGTCGCTTGATGCAGCGGCAGGAAGCTCGTTGATGTGGCGTGTGCCTCAAAAGCGAGGGCTTTGATAGAAAAGATGGCGGCCAATCAGTCAAGTTGGCCAGAATCCAACAGGCCGGAGCCATCGAGGGGTCTATACCAGGTTCCTACGTCCGTTTCTCACGATGCAAGGATTGACAGTCTGTCGATCCAAGTCAAGGAGTTGTCTAAGCTCATGAAGCAGGACATGCGTAATAAAGGAAAACAGGCGCTGCATGAGGCCGCGGAACTTGAGGAGAATGCTTTTGTAGACCATCAAGGTCTGCAGGTTGCTGAGTGCTCAACTGAAGAGGCTCAGAACCCAGCGGAGGTCTACTATATGGCTGGCAGAAATGCCCCTCAAGTTCAGTAGTTCCATAAGGGGTAGACTCAAGGCCCCGCTGGACTGCGTCCTCAGCAACAATTTCAAAGGCCACAACAGTTCGTTACGCAACAATATCATCAATGGGGATATTATCCACATCAACAACAATACTTTCAAGCCCCCCACTTTTCACAGCAGGCACCTGCATTTGCCCAACCTCCCACAGCGGCCCAAGCACCGCTGAGTCTGGAGGAACTTTGGAGGAACACAGAGCACACAAATCAAGAGTTCCAAAGAAACACATCTGCCTCGATCAAAATGTTGGAAATTCAAGTCGGGCAGATAGCTAAAGCTATGAAGTTGAAGCAAAAAGGAAAGTTGCCTGGGACAGTCGAGACTGTCCCGAACCAAGCGAAGGCCATCGAAACAAGGGGTGGGAAGCGGACGCAATCACCACCGCTGCCAAATAGAGGTATTAATCATTCTTCTACCCCTATTGTTGCTAACGTGCCTGTGCAGGATGAAGTTATACAGATTCCATTTGAGGAAGAAGGTCCATCCAAACCGCAAGCGATACCAGCCGCTCGGGTGCCTGAACCGAAGGAAATGGGTCCTGCTCAGCCCTTGGCTCGAGCCCCCTTTCCCACACCACTTGGGAAAAAGGAAAACTTCAAGGAATTTGATAAGTTTGTACATACTTTCCGTAGTCTTCAAATTACTATACCGTTTGTTGATGCTTTGTCACAAATGCCGCATTACGCTAAGTTTATCAAGGATATAATCAATCGGAAGCGGGCATCTCCTGACGAAGCGGCAACGGTGCAGCTGGAGAGTGTGTGCAGCGCCGTATTTAAGGAAAACCTCCTAAAGAAACTCAGCGATCCTGGGATTTTTATTATTATTTGTACTATAGGAAATTTAGAGCCGATTAGGGCATTATGTGATCTAGGAGCAAGTATCAATCTTATTCCCTTCTCGTTTTTCTCTAAATTAGGGCTTTATGAGTTAAAAGCATACAGAACTGTAATTCAACTTGCCGATAAATCAATAAGATTACCTAAAGGAATTATTCGTGATGTACTCGTGCAAGTAAACAAATTTATTTTCCCTGCATATTTCATTATGATGGAAATGAGCGAAGATCGCAAAATTCCAACTATCTTAGGGAGACCTTTCCTAGCCACCGCTCAAGCTACGATAAACGTCGCCGAAGGCGAAATTTCATTAAGCTTTGGTGGCAATAAAGTCACGTTTTCCATGAACCCAGCGTTGTGTCAACCTCATAAAGAAAATTGTGATTTTATCAATGAGCTAAATGAAGTATCAACTTTTGAAACTATATAACACTTGAAAATCTGGAAGGAATTTCAGATAACGGGTTGCTTGAGCTGGAAGATGAATAGGATTCAGCAGAGGCAAGCGATGAGATGCCAGTGCCTACTGAATCCATTGAACGAGCTACGAGGGAACCAGCCAGCGACACCAACATAAAGGACGAGCTGGAGAAATTACCTGAGCACCTCAAATATATATTCCTTGGCCCGAAGGAGAGTTACCCGTTGATAATCTCCGCCTCACTGTTGCCGGACCAAAAGGCTTAGCTCGTCTCACTGCTCAAAAGAAGAAAAGCGGCTTTTGCATGGTAGATCACAGATATTAAAGGAATCAGCCCAGCGGTGTGCATGCATCATATTAGGCTGGATGCTGACGCTAAGCCATGCAGACAGCCTCAGCGGCGAGTAAACGAAAATATGCAAGAGGTGGTAAAGAAAGAGGTGATCAAGCTATTCGATGCAGGAATCATTTACCCTATCAGTGATAGCCAGTGGGTCAGCCCAACCCAGGTGGCTCCCAAGAAATGAGGCTTTGTCGAACAGACAAGCGACGAGGGGGAGGTCTTTATGACAAGACCTGTCACTGGATTGAGGGTCTGCATTGACTACAGAAAATTGAATTCAGCCACGAAGAAAGATCATTTCCCGCTTCTCTTCCTTGATCAATGCCTTGAGAAGCTCACAGGTCAAGAATACTACGGTTTTCTCGATGGCTACTCAGGCTACCACCAAATTCCCATCAAACCGGAGGACTGTGAGAAGACTAAATTTACTTGTCCATATGGGACCTTCGCTTACAGAAGGATGCCGTTCGGGCTCTGCAACGCCCCAGCCACCTTCCAACGATGTATGTACCATATCTTCAGCGATCTCCTGGACTTATGCATTGAAGTATTCATGGATGACTTTTCGGTATATGGTAAGACATTTTCCAGATGCCTGAACAATTTGGAAAAAGTGCTTCTCCACTACATTGAGACTGAGCTCGTGCTAAACTGGGAGTGTCATCTTATGGTAAATGAAGGAATTGTCTTGGGCCATAAGATCTCATCTGTTGGTATTGAGGTGGATAGTTCAAAAGTTAGTGTAATCAAAAAGATGCCAGGGCCCTCGAATGACAAAGGAGTGCGAAGTTTCCTTGGACACGCAGGATTCTACGTCCGTTTTATCAAGGCTTCAATCAAATCACGTAACCGCTCACTGCACTATTGTGCAAAGACTCTAATTTTCATTGGTCAAGCGAGTGTGAGGAGGCCTTCCGAGTTTTGAAGGAGAAGCTGCCCTCTGCTCCTATAATTTCAGCACCAGTGTGGAGCGAGCCATTCGAGCTTATGACGGATGCAAGTGACTATACCGTCGGCGCTGTATTAGGACAGAGAATGGAGTCCAAGTTAAACGTTATCTACTATGCAAGTAAATCACAGGATTCCGCTCAGAAGAATTATACTACAACCGAGAATGAGCTGCTCGCTATTGTCTTCGCTTTCGAGAAATTCAGACAGTATCTTATCGGAAGCAATACCATTTTTCACACTGACCATGCAGCTATCAAATATTTGATGGAGAAGAAGGAGACAACGGCCCGATTGATTAGATGGGTCTTGTTGCTCCAAGAATTTGACATAGAGGTCAATGATAAGAAGGGAAAAGAGAATGATATGGCAGATCACCTCAGTAGGTTAAGGCAAGAAGAGGACATGTCTCCTGGAATCAATGAACAATTCCCATATGAGAAGTTGTTCCTGGTGCAAGCGAAGGAGCCATGGTTTGCGGACCTGGCCAATTTTTTAACTACAGGACAGTTTCCAACACATACCGTACAATGGAAAAAGAAGATATTACTCAGTTTGGCAAGGGATTATTTTTTGGATGAACCCTACTTGTTCAACATCGGCTCAGATGGGATAATCCGTCGCTGTGTAGCGGAATCTGAGATCCCGCTGATCTTGAATGAATGTCATGGGTCCCATGTAGGAGGGCATTTTGCTGGCCTGCGCACAGTGGCCAAAGTTTTGCAGTCAGACTTCTTTTGGCCAACCCTACAGAAAGATGCAGATGCCTTTGCCAAATCTTGCGACAAGTGCCAAAGATTGGGATCTATCTCGAAGAGATATGAGATGCCCCAAACTGGAGTCTTGTTTGTGGACATATTTGATGTATAGGGGATAGACTTTATGGGTCCCCTTCCTTCTTCTAATGGGAAACTATACATTCTGGTGGCGGTGGATTACGTGAGCAAATTGGTTGAAGCGCAGACGCTTTCCACGAATGATGCTCGATCTGTGATCCGCTTCCTAAAATATACTATATTCCTAAGGTTTGGGGTCCCCAGAACGATAATAAGCGATGAAGGCACCCATTTTGTGAATAAGGCGCTGCAATCTTGCGTTCAACAATATGGTGTTCGTCAGCATCTGACTACCCCCTATCATCCACAAGCGAGCGGTCAGGTGGAAGTTTCAAATAGAGAAATTAAACACATCCTCCAAACTACAGTAAATAAAAGTCGCAAGAATTGGGCAGAAAAATTGGATGATGCGCTGTGGGCATATAGAACAGCCTTCAAGACTCCAATCGGAATTCCCCTTATCGGCTTGTTTATGGAAAAGCCTGCCACCTACGTCTAGAACTCGAGCATCGCACGTATTGGGCCATCAAATATCTCAACTTTGATCTTCTCCCAGCGCCAAAAGATTGATCGATCCAACTGAGTTCTGATATCTTGCATATGAAAGCGCTAAACGCTACAAGGAAATGATGAAATTCTATCATGACAGGAAGTTGAAGAAGAAGGAATTCACTGTGGGATCCAAGGTTCTTCTGTACGACACTAGGCTCCACTTATTCCAAGGGAAATTGAAGTCACGGTGGATTGGGCCTTATATAGTCAGACAAGTGCTGCCAAGTGGAGCCATAAGGATCAATAATATGGATAACCCTGGAGAAAGAGACTCCTTCCTGGTCAATGGAGCGAGACTGAAAGCCTATATCGAAGGGCCTGTATTGCAGCAGGCTAGTGCAGATGTTAATCTAGTGGAGGTTCAGAATCTCGTTCAATGATAGAATTTCAAGTAGAAATCCAGAAGCCTAATCTTATATCTGCCAACTTTACAGCTTTCTTTTATCGCTTTACTAGTTAGAATTTACTGCTTTCATAGTTTAAATTTACAAGCTTTCTTTTATCGTTTTCACAGATAGATTTTATAATTCTTAGCACTTTCGTGGTTTAAGTTTACAGTTTCTGTTATCGCTTTCATTAGAATAGTATTATCGCTTTAAATAGTTAGGATTATCGCTTTCTAGGAGTAGGTTAATATTAGAATTTTAACTTCTAACCTGAGTTTGACCCAAGCCACCCATTGCTTTGCTTCTTTCACCCTGATATTCACTGGGGGAGCAGTATCGCTCATCCAGTACCACTTCCATCACCGCTTGTGTGTCACTCTTAGGTAAAAAGAACCGTTGTTTTACCCGCTCACCCGCCCTGAAAATCCACCCTTATACCTTTATAACTAAGTATTTTGGACTTGGAAGCGCTTCGCTTGCCCTCCAGACGAGCGATAGGAAAGTCTATAAATACCCCAGTCAACAGTCATTTTCCACTTTTGCCCTACAGTAACTTCCTCCAGACGCTTTAGTAACCGCCACTCTCCAAGCCAAAATTTTTTCAAAATCTCGACATTTCAACCAGTAATAGCTTCATCTAAGGTAAGATCTAGGTTAACCTTAGTATGTAAACTCGATTTTATGGTTGATTTTCCCTGATTTAACGTTCAAAAACACAGAATCACAAATTATTTTTGCGATAACTATATGTTCTTCATTTTTGCGAAATGGTTTATATGTTTGATTTATGTGAATTTAGGTCTATAAACTGCTAGATTTAGATACAATAATTGATATACTTGCTTCATATGGTTCAATTTTGCAATAATCTGCATGTTTTGTACTGTTATGTGATTTTCTTCCTTTTTCACAACGTAATACTCACAGTAGTGTCCTATTTCGTTGTGAGGGGGAGGATCTAGGGTTAAAATCACTGAAATTGTGAAAATGATTGTCTGTACATGAATGTTGTTAGCATTTTAAAGCAGTAAGGCAGGATTCATAAATTTCGTATATTAAACAATAATTCTGAAAACCCTAGGTTCAGGACAGACTTGACAAAATAGATCCAGCCAAGCGAGAAACGTTGAGTAAGGAGTTCGAGAAGGTTGAGGAGAGAATCAAAAAGAGAGTCCAAAGGATCAAATCCACGGACGGACGTAAGGTGGTGACAACAACCTCAGGGGTTGAATTTCTGGAACTAGCGCCGCCTGAGGCATATTATAGGAAGAGGAGGGTGTTAGAGCTGACAGAGGACTGGGGGAAGCTCAGACAGCTGAAGTCACTGCCCTTCAGAAAATTCATCCCAGAGTTCCCAGAGGACTACCACAGATTCGAATACACTGAGGAAACAGAGCAGAGGTATCCGGTGAGCAACTGGTGGTTGGACTACAAGGAGTTGAAGGAGTACCAGCTGAAGGAGCTAAAGGACAAACTTGCCTGCCATGAGGCACCGCTGAGGAAAATGAAGGCATTCAAGAGCAGTATCTCCAAGAAGGACGCGGCCGATGCTGCAAAGGGCGTGTTGAGATCCAAGCAGCTTGATAAACTTCATTTTCTCAACATTGATGCAGCGGCGGCCTATGAGCGGATGAAGGCGATGGGGATCCTCTATGAAAGAGGATTTGACCCCGAGAAGATTACAGGCCCGTTCGCTGACTGGCTGGAGGAGCGGGGCCTGAGTTGGTTGATCAGAAACCCCAGTGATCCAGTGGATGTATCACTGGTGAGGGAGTTTTATGCGAACTTGAACCAGGCTGAGAGTCTACGGAATGTATATATTCGAGGAAGATGGGTAGACTGCTCAGCCAGGAAGATCAACCGCCTCCTGGGGTGGGAACACCACTATCCCACCCAGGAAATGCAAGACAAGTCAAGGGCAACGGAGATCCGCAGCTCGCTTGAGTTGCATATGCTTTACAGAACCTTCGCCGCCACCCCTGTATACGAAAAGAGGAACCTGAAGTTTGGGTCGGTGGACGAAGAGAAAAAGGAATGGGTGAAGTGGTTGCTGAGCAGAGTGATGATTGGATATGTTTTAGAGTAGAGTTAGATGACTTAAGCACATCAGACCAAGTAATTGTCCTTCGAACTTCACCATAACTTGAACATGAGTGTTAAACTAAGTAACAGTGAATGAGACTTGTGAAGATTAGTGCCCC